CGGGGTCTGGACCCCGGATGCTGCAACCTTTAGCCGTCCAGATCTTGATGCAAACGAAGGCCCAGATTGGCCTGAAACTGAATTCCCTTCGGCCTGGATGCTTGTCTGGGTACCTGCGCACAACAAGTGAGCGTATCCAACGAAGGGCCTGGGCGCGGTACCTTTGACTCTACAGTTGACTTTGACCCTTGACTTTCCTGGGTGCAGCGTTTGGTCACACAGCCAAACGCGACAGACTCAGGCCTGGGCGTGCCCTGGTCACAAAGCCCAGCGCAGACCAACTTTGGTCTGCATTGCCTAGGGCTGAGTTCTGGGCCCCAGACTACTTCTGAACAGGGTTACTGCACTACAGGCTAACTTACGCAGGGGTGAGGGGTGGTACATCCTTCCTTCAGGAAGCAATCAGTGCCGTCCTTCAGGCCTTCCCACCATAAGGGGGAGGAGCGTGTGTAAAGTTTTCATTGTAATTCTCATGACTACGATTTGGACGTCCGGACCGCCGTCCAGATGGTCCGGATTCAGTCCGGACTCCAGACGTCCGGTCTGGAAGGTCCGGATCTGCCAAAATTTGAGGGGAAAAAAAAAAAAAAAAAACGGTCCAGGACCCTTCCCCATTGAGGAGCCAAGCCCCCAAAATTGTTTTGGGTTTTTTTAAGGCCCGTTTATGTTTTTTGGGGAGGTCCGGACATGCTCTCTCTCTCTATAATAATTTATTAGACAACCCCAAATTTTTAATTATTAATAATTCATTAACTTTTATTAGTTTTTAAAGTCTTTTTTAAAGCTTTTTTATAGTTTTTGACTTGTAACTCAAGTTTGGTTAGGAATTCTGACATGACTCTGAGGCAAAAGTGGTTTGCATTGTTATTCTGCATAGCATATTTGTTTTTCAGATTTTTTTTTTTTTTTTTAATCCGGACATTTCCGGACCTGTCCAGACATCCGGACCGTCCGGAAATGTCCGGAATTCCGGATGTCCGGAAACTACCGGACACGGGTCTGGTTCCATGTCCGGAAATGTCCGGGTCCGGGTCCGGCGTAGCCATGGTAATTCTGTTTGACTTGCCGGTGGAATAGGCACCAGACTGACGCTCCCCAGAATGGAAAAGGAGCCAGAACCTTGAGGTTTTGTTTGAAAAAAAAAAAAAAAAAAAAAAAAAAAAGATGATAGAGCAAGCTAACAAGCACCACAAGCTTGCTCAATTCAATGAAGGAGATTTAGTTTGGGTAAAGACTAACAAATTTTCTTTAGAGGAAGGCATATCTCAGAAACTAATGCCTGTCTTTTATGGACCCTAGGAAGTTCTCAAAGTTGTTGGGGATGCAGGTGGTCCTTCCTACAGTGTTGACGTACCCTCGCATGTAAAGACATACCCATTCTTCCATGAGTCTAAACTGTTACCCTACATCGAAGGCCAGGATTTTCCAAACAGGCCGTCGATGTTTCCTCCTTCGATGAATTGTGGGTACCAGGTTGAGAGAATCATTGACCACAGTTTCTTTTCTACAGGCGGAAGAGGAAGACCGCAAAAGCAGTCTACGGTAAAGTCTAGGAACCAGCCAGATTCTGAAGCTAGATGGTTCAGCAAGAGGAACTATTACCTACTGCCCTTGATATAGTTGCTGTGCATGAACGAGGGTTAAGAGAAAACTGAGCCTGAAAGAATAATTTATGCGGTGGAACTCAAAATCGGGTTGGATGGAACGTAATAAACCCAATTCCGATCCGCACAAGCGTTGTGACTTTTGGTTAAAGGTAAAAAATAGGGGTCAAAAGTCACATCCCTAGCTTGAGAAACGTATGAGAAAGTGCCTAGGGTCAACGGGTACCAAGATTTGAGTCAAAAGTTGTGTCCAGTACCCCAATGTCAGACATTTGACTCTTGGAAAATGAAGAGTCAACCCAAGCATGGGATCCCAGGCCCAAAGTCAAAGTCAACCCGCTGGTCAGCCACGGTCGTCAATCAGATGCACATGAGTGGTTGTCTGCAGGTATCCAAAAGATTCCAGTCCAAGTGGGACACGAGGGAAAGATGGGACTGCGCCGCATCGAGGCCATTGGTTGTCAGATCACCTGGGCCCTCGAGCCAAGGGGAATGGAGGCTGGTCAACGTGAGTCATCACTATATAGAGTTGACCCAGCCACTGTGGAGATCATTCTGCCTTGCGCTGGCTTGATGCTAGTACGATATCGCGAGGCTGTTGGAGTTTCTGCGCGCCAGTGCTGCTTGGTGGGCGCCAGCATCAGAGGAGATTCTGCTTGATCGGCCAGTGCCGCCATAGCTGCAGACATCGTGTATAGGTTGGGCGAGGAGGAGGACCAGGGCTGTGAAGGAGGTTGAGGGGAAGCTTACTGAACTTACCTGGCGACATCATGTGTGATCGGCTGCTTATCTCCAAGAAGGCGAGTAAGATCTGTGCCATCCTCCCTGTTTGATTATTAATGTGGATGGAGGATGGGCGCCCTGGTGTAATCTGCACATTGTGTACATCTGAGGATGTTAGCGAGAGGCTGCATTGCTGAGGTAGGGATAGTTGGGGATGCCCGAAGAGGAAGTGGGCTGAAGAGATTACGTGCATTCTGAAATCTTCTCCTCTTCTTCTGTCTATTCTCCCCAGTTTCTCCTTCTCTTCTCTGGAGTTTGATGACATGGAGAAGGGCACGTGTGCTGGACATGGACATTTAATTGAAGTCGGAGATACTATTTCATTGGCTGGGTTCAGACTTGTATCACGACATTGACTGGCTTCTCATGCGATTGGGTCCATTACATAACAGAATAGATGAAATAACCGATGCTGCCTGAAGGGAATGAATCAAAGGCCAAAAAAAGAACCACGGCCCTATGGCCGCCCAAACATGGGATACACTGCCCAAAATCTAGACCGGTCCACTAGGGCCTATATGGGAGGCCCATGCATGCCACAGGAGCTCTTAAGCACTCAGAAGATGGCAAGCGGTCCCCATTTGTGAGAAAAGTTCCTGGATGACTTTGCAGTGCGTTGGACAGCCAGGTTCTGTTTCTCACGATTCAAGAAGGGGATTACCCGGCCATTCCACTCATCTGGCCTTGCTCAATGGGTGCCAATTAGCAAAAATGATTTTGAGGACCTCCAAAACAAGCAGTATAAATATACAATTGTTCTACAGTTTTTGCAAGTGCATTCAGGTGAGTGGTAAAAGGACAGGTATGAATAGTGAATAGTGCAGATTGGAACCGATAGCGAACTTGATCTTGGATGAACTCATAGCGAACTTGATCTTGAATGAACATGTGAGTGCATGGGGGAAGGCCCAGCTACTGGAGGCACCACCCCGTGCCCTTAACCTGCCCTTTTGCAACCTGCATAGTGTGCGGCTGGGTACTGCATAAAGCTTTCCCGACCGCTATGCGGGCCCCGGGTGGGAACAGGCGTGCGACACTGCATAGCTCTTCCAGCCCCCCTGTATCGTGACTAGGGCGATGGGGTTATGGGGTTATACTGCTTCTTTGCTCTTTCCTGTCTGTTCTCCGTGCCTGCTGCCCCCCAGAATAGATGTGGCCCATGCTGTGTTAAAAAAAAAGAAAAAAAAAAGTATTTTAAGCAGAGGGAGTCGTGTCACATAATCTTGCCTGCCATCAGGTCTCCAGGAGCATGCTGTAATAGTGTACAAGTTCTCAATATTCTTCACTGCTACCTCCTCCCAGACGCCACGCTGATTGTGGAAACTGCATTGGAAGAAAAAGGACAGCATCATTCGAGGTGACTTGAGAAGTGTAGAATAAGCGGAGCTTTACGGCGCAAGTGCAGTACCATTACTTTTAACGTTATTATTACAAGTGCAAGGAAGATGAGCAATAGCGAACTTCAGCAATCAAACAGCATCATACACATGAGACCAGATAGTCGTGACCTCGAACCAAAAGCAGAATTTCATCACGAGTTTCACCAAATAAGAGCACACCAAAAGCTCATAATTGACAATGCTCGAATAGTCTCATCATCATCATCAACAAAGAACCAATGTTGATATCCTATCTGGCGTTCGGCGCCCAGACTACAGATGGCAGATCCTATCTAGCCTACTCTACAATGCCGCTGATGAAGTCAACAGCTCCTCGAAGCACGGGCAGATCTCGGCCAATGCCGCACGCTTCAAGCACCAGGTATGTCTCTCGTATCACTCACAACCTCGTTCCCCAACTCACAGATGCCAGTTGCACCCAAGGACCACCATGCGCCCCATCCAGCATACAGCAGCGCAGCTCGGCTATGGCTGCCTGCTCCTTCCAGCTCGCCCCTGAGCCTGGCAAGCGATAGCGCAGCAGCACTTGCGCGCAAAGCAGCCAGTGCCCGAATGCCCAATGCGTAGGCAGGCCCTTCCCTAGATGGAAGTGGCCTGCGGCTGCATGCTGTGCTGCGGTACTGGGCCCCGGTCCAGAAGCGTCCGGTAGGCCCAGGGAGGCTGAGCCTCAGTCCGAAGTCAACAGGTCCAGGGCCTGTGGTGGTTACCAGCACCCAACTGCCCTCAGCCTTTGTTCAGTCCACTTTGTGTATCCGGCCCAGGGCCTGCCTCAGTTACATGCAATGCAAGGCAGCCTGGGCCTGGGCGCTTCCAACCAACTGGCACTGTGCAACTGCCTGAATTTCCCCAGTCGTAGTAGTCCAAAGTAGGCCTCTTGAGGTCTGTCGAGCCTGCCTTCACTTATGGCGGCCGACGCATGTTGCAAATAGGGGCCCAGTAGGGCTTATCAAGGCCTTGTGCCTCACATTCTCTCCTCCATACTTCGCTAGACCTCTGAGAAGTTCAGTCTTCGATAATTTGGCGCTTTCCCTTCTGCAGAGACTTCCCATAGTGAGCGACTACCTGTGGAGCGGTCTGCATCAGTTCCTCTCTTGTGAACCATCCATCCTCCTTTGGATCAGTGTGATGTCTGAACCGAACTCGATACTGCAGCGTTGGTTTCGGAGGACGTCCTCTGCCTGGTGGTCTTGGAACTGGCATCTCCCTGTGATCAACAATGTCGTCGATGTCGACCTCTCCATCCATGGTTGGGGGCAGCATTGAACGACGAGAGGGAAACTGATCTGTTTCTCTAGAAGGTGCAAGCTTTGAGGCGTGGAAAACAGGGTAAGTGCGTAAGTGACCAGGGATACGAATAACATAAGATGGTCCATCTGGTTCATTCCCCACAACATCTAGAATCTCCCAGGGTCCAAAGTACTGTGGCATTAGTTTACGGGAAATCCCGTACTCCTGTTCCAGTTCTGGGGACTTAACCCAGACTCTTTTTCCTACCTGGAATGTAGATGGGCGGTGGTGTTTGTTCTCAGACTCTATCATCACCACCTGTGCTTTGTGCATCTGTTCGACTGCCTGTTGCATCAGTTGCTCATATCGATAAGCAAACTCCAAGGTCCCTGGTGAAGCAGCTGACTGATTCTCAGGTAGTTGGAAGTCCAAGGGCAGTCTAGGCTTGAAAGTCAGTAGCAGACTGTTCGGGCTTACTCCCGTAGCGCTGTGCACAGCGTTGTTGTACAGGCTGGCGATGAGAGCAAGCTTCTCATCCCAGTCGACCTGATTCCGCTTGATGTAATGCCTCAGCAGGTGTTGTACAGTGTGCTTCAATTGCTCTGTCTGCCCATTTGCTTCTGGGTGATTGCCTGATGTCATTTGCAACTGTGTGCCCTGTTCTGCAGCTGCAACTTTCCGCAGTTCACTAGTGAATCGCACATCCTGGTCACTAATGATAGACTCTCTGACCCAGTTTTCTTTGAACAGCTTAATGACGTACTCAGTCTTTGCTGTTTCCGGCATTGCAACTAATCTAGCATACTTACTAAACCTATCCACAATGACAAAGATGTGTCGCACTCCACTCTTGCGTGATCAGTTTGTCCATGAAATCCATGGATACGCTCTCACCTGGCCTTTCCGGAATCGGAAGGGGCTTGAGGAGCCCAAGAGGGGCCTGTGTACGGGGCTTGTCTCTCTGACAGACCTGACAAGTCTCCACGTACAGCTTGGCATCTCTCATCATCGTGGGCCACCAGAACCGCTGCAGAAGATTGGCTGCAGTCTTCTTGAAACCAAAATGTCCAGTGGCATTATGACACTCGCCTAAAAATAAACTACGTAAAGACTCCCTATCTGGCACACACAGATGTTTATTCCCTGTCTTCTCAGGGAACAGCAGTTCGTTGACCAACTCAAACTCGGCAGAAGTCGCTTTGTCCTTCGCCTCGAGTCTGCGTATGATCTCCGACATAAACCAGTCCTCGCGATAGGCTTCCACCATAGAGTGAGTAACATCGTCCGCAAGCCCAAATTCAGTGATCAGCGCACTGGAGAAATCTGGTCTATGCGACAGCGCATCGACAACCTTGTTATACTCGCCCTTTATGTACTGGGGCTCGAAGTCATACTGCTCTATGACTTCAATCCAACGCTTCAGAGCGTCGGAGAGCACACGCTGGGTTCTCATCCACTTCAGGGTCTGGTGATCAGTCCTGCGTAGAAGAACCTTCCAAGGAGATAGTGTCTCCAATGGGTGAGCGCCTTGTAGATCGCATAGAGTTCCTTCTCATAGGTGGACTTAGCCAACTTCTGAGAGGGCATCTTTTTGGACATGTACTCTACCGGCCTCAACTTCTTCCCCTCCTGCTGCGCAAGTACGGCGCCTATGCCATATTGGCTAGCATCCGTAGTTACTACGAAAGGTTTGTCAGGATCAGGAAGTTTCAAGACCTCATGGTGTGTCAACGCATGCTTCAGTTGTCAAAAAGCAGCCTCACACCTGTCTGTCCATTCCCATGGGGTGTCAAGGCGAGTCAGGTTCGTCAAAGGGGCGACCACTATGCTGTAATTCTGAACAAAATTGCGGTAGTAGCCTGTTATCCCTAAGAAGGACCTCATCTTAGTCACAGAGTGAGGACCCGGCCAGTCACGAATGCTGGCCACCTTCGCGTCATCGGGCTTCAATCCCTCCACGGAAATCTCATGACCCAAGTACAAGACATGGGTGCGGCCAAACTCGCACTTCTCACCGTTGATTTTGAACTTGTGCTGTCGAAGAAGGCTAAGGACTTTGTCCAAGTGCGCAACGTGCTCCTCAACAATTATACTAAAAATAAGTATGTCATCGAGGTACACGATGATAAATTTATCCAAGTAGTCATGAAATATCTGATTCATAGCGTGCTGAAAAATGTCAGGAGTATTGCAAAGGCCGAAAGGCATCACCACAAACTCGTACAGACCGTACCTGGTCTGAAATGCGGTTTTGTGTTGATCCTCGGGCCGGATTGCGATCTGATGGTACCCGGACTTCAGATCTATATTACTGAAGCACCGACACCCTTGCACTCTATCTAGCAAGTGATGGCATTGAGACCCCTATAGTCAGTGCACATCCTAAGTGTTCCTTCCTTCTTCGGTACAAATAGGACTGATGATCCATAAGGAGAAACACTCGGCCGCATCCAGCCCTTTTCTACGAGTTCCTTGAGTTGTCGGCGAAGCTCATCAAGCTCGCCTGGAGACATCCGATAGATCCTACCCTTTGGAATGCTAGACCCTGGGATAATCTCTATCGCGTGGACGACCTCCCTCTCAACAACCCCTGTAAGCTCTTCAAATAGATCAGGGTACTTGGCAACTACTCCCTCTATCTCCGGCGGCATTTTCACCGACTCGCCTGCTGCAGAGATATAGACTAGATACATACCCTCCTCCGGATTTTGCTTATAATAGTTATAGAACGTGGCCGCACACATGCATCTGTGAGACTCAATCAAACTACTAGCTTTGAACTTATGTAATCTGGCGGTCCCTCCACCTGGCAAAGTGTGTTTGACCACTTTTCGGTCCCCGTCAAACTGGGGCTGTGCCACGGAGAGGTAGTACATACCTAACAAGATATCCATAGGGAGATCATCGCTCACTAGGAACGAGACGCGATGTCTCAATTCCCCTCCAGCGTACGGGAAACAACACTCAACATCCTGGAGGTAGTCGTTGACTACCATGCGCTGTTTGTTGGCACAGGTCGACTCCACAGGTTGACTCAGGCGTTGCACTCGACCCTGTAAGCGCAGTCTCTCAACGCACGTGCGACTGATGAAGTTCCCAGTCGAGCAAGTATCATAATAGGCCCCGGCCTTGTGGCCGACCTTGTGGCCGCCGATGACTACCTCGCCAACGAACATCTCTCCCTTAGGGGCTTTGGCGAATGCCATCCAACAAGCTAGTGGGTCTGATCTAGACCACTCCTCCTGTGGCTTCTCTAAGGATTCAAACACATTCATCGAACAAAGGCTCGATGGGTCAGAATGTGTTTGCGGGACGACTATGGAGTCAGTAGCTTGGGCCATCTCTCGAGATGGTGAGGGTGTGTCCACCACCTCGACCCTTGCAGGAACAACTACCATTCCTACTGGCCCGACGCGTTTCCCGGAGTAGTGTCAGAACTGCTGGTCACATTGCTACCAACGGGAGCGGAGGATCCTAATGCCTGCCCCATCGTAGGCGGAATCTTTTCGATCACCTTCTTATTTCGACACTTGAATTGGTTATGGCCATACTGGCCACAACGAATACAAGTTTGTTGCGTGCACCGATCTCTCCACATGTCCTCAGTGAGAACCGCTTTCTCCCATGGGGGAGCATTGGGGTCAACTTGACTCCTAGACCGGGAGCCTTCGCGGCGTCTACCAGTCGCCTTACCTTTTTGTGCTACAACGACTACTCCACCCCCTGAAGCCTCTACGCTGCCAGCCTCTGAACCTACTCCCTCCCGGAAGTTGTCATCTAACTCGATGGTTGAACCATCGTTATCGACAAACATAATGCCTTCGCCTTCCAGTTGGGAGGCAGTGACTTTCTCCTACCATCCGTAGTGGGTGTCTGCCCATGCCCTATCTTTGCCTCAAGGTCTAGGGACTTCTTGCTAAACGAGGGAAAGATGTGCATATTGATGTTGGCCTCACCTGCCAACTGATTCCTGAGAGGCATGGGAAAGCATCTCAGGTAGGAGGTGAGTAAGAGATGGGGGTCATAGCGCACCCCAGGGACACAGATCAAACGCTCTACAACGTCAGTGGCTTCCCTTACCGACTTAAACTGCCTCATGTGTAGTGTCAGGATCGCATCAGTAGCCTTTTGGGCCTCCTGAGGATCATGCCACTTGTCTTCCACCAACTTAAGGAAGTCATCCAAGCGCGAAAGTTATGACCGTACCCCTGTAGCTGCACTAAACCACTCAACCATCGTGCTGCACTCCCTTCTAGATAGGAGGCAGCCACAAACACTTCCTCGTGTGGCAAGGTAAGTTTGCACTTGACATAGACTAACACTGCCCTCAACCAAGTGTCGAGGTCTTCGCCCCTCTTATCCCCTGTTAAGGGTTTCGGAGCGGCGATGGCCGTCTTTGGTACCCACTGACTTTGTCCCGGTCCCTGCATCACTCCTGGCTGTGGACCCTGTGGTGCAGGCTGCTGCACTGACTGTTGGGGTTGTGTACCCAGCGGCTGTGCAGGCTGCGAGACAGCAGGCTGCCCGCCTACGGCAACCTGCAACGGAGGTTGGGTGAAAACTGTCTGTACAGGAACCTGCAAACTCGAACCTGCTGAGAACCCTCCTGCTAACGACATACCAAGGGAAACAGTCTGGACCGATGCTGGAGCTGTATATGGGGAAACCCCAGTCACTAGTGGGACAAAAGGAGGAGGATGTACAATGGGTCAGGCACCGGGCCCCAACGGTGATGGTGCCGCCTGCAGTCGCCCGACTAACTCCGCTTGCCTCCGCTGCATCCTGACTCTTCTTCTAATCATTCTCTCTTTCTCCGCCTTAATCTCACCCAAAGCCTACTGTAGATGTGCCTCGGGATCAGCAGCTCACTGTATGGCGACCTCCTCGGGAGTCATCACTAATGGCTGGCTTGCCATAACGCCAGTGGAGTGACTCTGGGTTTGTGCAACCGTTGACCCTACAGACCCTGAACTGTTCGCCTGGGAACTCTGCTGCGCAGCAGTTGCCATGGCCGCTGAAACAGCGGCTTCGCTTGTGAATGCTCTGCTGGTCTCTGCTGCCCTAGCCCTCCGCTGCTGCTGCTGCCTCTCCCTAAGCTGGCGAAACAGATATCTGTCGCCCTCTGGTCCTAAGGCCAAGTGGGCTATCGGGCGTCTAGCCGATCGCAAGATCCGGTCGTCCTCACTAGTGGTGTCCCTATCGCTCATATGCTACAGAACTGCACACCGTCTGCACTAGGACACACAATGGATGCCTACCGCAGCAACATGTACAGACCGATATAAATAATTGGCGGCTATATCAAAGACTATACATTCGGGTCCAACAGGTAAGTTCATATTCCTACAAATATAACTATTTTTAGTTTGACTAGTTTTCGAACAAAATGCACAATGAACAGGAAACAGTTCTAATATGTTGTCTGTCAGATGTTAATGGTTGTACATCTAACTAATCAAAGCATAAAAATAGAATCATTTGTGTGGATTGGGACAGTATGGAATTTTTCCTGAACTTATCACCTAAAATCTACCCCTCCCCCAGTTCCTCTTGAATGTTGCTTGACGTCAGCGTCCCTAAGCCATCCAGAGAGCAGTGCGTGTCTAAAGGTGTGCAATCGACCCACACCTGTGCCCCGAGTCCTGTTGAGCTGGCCAGCTCTAGCACATTGTTTTATCCTCGCGTGCAGCGAGCCTTACACCAATTGGCTGATCAAGAGGGTATTTAAGGACCGCCCCCCCAAGTGTCCTCAGGAATTATTTAACGTCGCAAACAGGACGACGATCACAGCCAATGGTTTCCCCTGCCGGTGTTTATTTATAGACGCCCAGTTATCGTCTCCCACATAGGGTTGGCCTGCCCCTCAGAACCCATCTAACAGCGCAGTGAGCCGCACAAAGGACAAGCAGCAAAGCATGCGTGCTCTACTCCCTATGGGTTGGCATGGTGACCGTTGTCGCGCCCCCACTGCTTCAAGGGTCTGGTTAGATATCCTTCCCCGGACCGAGCTCAGTGGGTTGGAGGACTGGCAGACTGTCACGCAGGATTTTGATAGGTATTAAAAATAGAGGTGTATTCAGAGGCAGTCACACTTTGTCATACAGCCGAGTAGTCAGGGTTATTCCTCCTGCCAGCGGCGACACGGCTTAGAGTGAGGCGTTCGGGTTTATCGCCTGCACCTGACCCCGTATAAAGGATAGACCCAAGGTCACCGAAGTCCCTATCATCCAGGAGTCCTTCAAGCTGCCTTGAGTGTAACCTGTGTAAAATAAGGAGGAAAATAACATACGTGCATCATAGAGCAATAACCACTGATAAAATGAGAAGACCAGAAACCACATTCTGCAAGAGTATGACCAGAGATACGAGACTGAAGAGTAGTACACAGAGTATGCAGGGAGCAGCCATCGGAGGGCTGCAGTCACTAATAAATAATAATGTCGTAATACATCATAGTGTCTGAAAAAAGAGAACCTCAATCAATGATAATAAGCGGTACCCCCTCGTGAGTAAGTGTTGCCGTCTGGGAGTCCATATCTGGCGCCTCGTCATTGAGAACCCGCGTGGCTATAGACTCTGGAACCACATAGCTGATATCGAGAGGCGTTGGATCAATCTTGCAGATATAGGCCATGCATCTCGCCATCTCCTCGTCTGCGACGCTCCTGAGATAAAGCTCCTCCGCAAGAGTGATGTCGCCTGAAGCTCCAATCAATATCTCAATCCGTCCTCTCCCACCAGAGTAAATGTAGGAAACCTCGAGAAAGCGATCTCCGTAAAGAGGCTTCCGAAAAGCCTGCATAGCAAAGTCCGTCCCAACCAAATGACTGTAGCCATCTCCGAGATATGGGACTGGTCCCTCCCCTCTTGGGAGACCAATAACTGTCTCGGACCTAGGGTGGTCTGACATGTAGGAGTTAATCACCCTCAAGTAGGTACCGCGCGAGAAGATATGCGATCCTCCTCAATGTCGCCCTCCGTCGTCTCCGCTCACCGGTCTCTAGCGCTCCTGCTACTGTCCAGAGAATCAGTCCCTGTGAGTGTCCCAGTCGAAGTAGTCGCCAAGATTAACGTCACTCACAGAGCAGGGCTCCAAGTCCGACTCATTAGTCTCTGATCTCTATACGCATGTGGTGATTGGGACCCCGGATCCCGCTATCTCTCTCCGGATCCGGCCGTCCTTCCACCTCTTCTCCTTGCTGCGGGACTCACTAAGGGGCTTGGGGTTGCATCCGTCAAAATCGAAGAGCACACCCCCAGGTGCTGAAGGTACGCGAGGGAACACCACGTGTAACCAGTTGTCCCTCCAATAGCTCTCCCTGCGAAATATGTAATCCGCAATCCTGTCGTATGTGGTGCCCTTCACTCCCGTCTCTGCCCCCTTCACCGAGTAGGTGATCACGAGCGTGTGTCTCGAGGTCGAGGACTCATTAGCCCTGATAGTGAAACTCTGGTGTCCCACATGCCTGTAGCAGAACCTCTCAATCAATCTACCCCACGTAGGGGCAGTCTCACGACGACGGGCCAACTTGGATAGATGGTGCACTCTCACTAATGCAAATACTCCCTCCAAGACTTGGCCAAATAGCAATCAGCAACTCAACGTGGAGGCCTGTCTGAATGGCCTGACTGAACTACAACTCCATATAGGGCTCTTCTGAATGGGCCCGGTGTAGGGCCAAACCCCGGTAGACTTTCGAGCCTTATTCGACCCCACTGCGGGTCCCAGTTGGCTCGGCCCGCCCACACTCATGCTCAGGGCGCGGGTCATTCGTCCCAGGGTCACCCCCACCTAGTGCTTTGAGATGGATGGTGGTGGGCCATTGCGCGACAAAGCTTTGACATTGGGGATGTAGCTCAACCCTCACTCGTGGTGGTGGTCTCGCTGGTTGTTCCGCAACGCTGAATTTTTTTTTTTTTTTTTTTTCTGTTCTCATGCAATTGCTCCTTCCAATACGCAAGCAGTCCAAGGATTCTTTTCTCTTCTCTTGTGCGTAGGCTAAGCGTCATCCTTAGGCCACACACCATTTCCCTAAGCAATGTGGCTATATGGCGTCATCGGGGGTGGCGGAGCCGTCCTCCCCCTCGCCTCTACGCATCCATCGGGTCTCACAATTTGTTGTTTTCCTTATTGAAGTAGGCCCCTTAGTCTTTTCGGGGTCCTCATATGCATGCACACATAACATCACAATGTCCTTGGTACGATTGCACGCTCAGTTACACTCCAAGTCCTGAAGCGCAAAAGTCATTTCCGTGGGTTGGCTCTATGTCAAGGGTCCCATAGCCCCTTTGTCCCTCTTCCCTTTCACTCTTGGTGCCCAGTTCCTCTCGCCCTATCCCGCTCAAGGCATTTCTAGCCATTACTCACCTGCACAATCCCACGCAAGCAAGAAGATCCATACAATCCCCCGTTGGGGGTCAACACATAGCCCTTCCCACATGCCTATCTTTTCAAATCCTTTGGCTATCAACTAAGTAAAGATCCGGATCATCACTCCCAACATGAACTTGACAATGAGAGACTAGACTAGTGGAAGCACATGCACAATGAGAAGAGATCAACTAAGCAAAGATCCGGAGCACCACATCAAACATGACCTTGAAAAGGAGAGGCTAGACTAGTGGAAGCACATGCACAAAGAGAAGAGATCAATTAAGTAAAGATCCGGAACATCACACCCTACATGGAGCACCACATCAAACATGAACTTGACA